CTCTGCCTCAACTAGATTGGTTTTTCAGATTTGACCAGAAATTCGATAATGGGCTCAAATTCGGGTTTATCTCAAATATGTAGCACAACTGTAGTTTGATTGCAAGATTAAGTAGAGCCATTAAAAATAAACATGAGATGTATCTACATAATTTTGCTAAGTTAATGAAGTACTGGTAGTTGCGCTTTCATTTAATTTCACATAGCCCTGCTTTCCTAAGGTTTGTCTAATTCAGGCTGGCTTACAGCTTTGACCTTGTCTAGGACCCCTCAGCATCCACAGCGGGACTCGAACTCATCTTGTAATGCAATGTTTACTTTCGACGCTGTAATCGCTATGCTGCATTACCAAGAGCGCCCGTTGCTCACAGGACAGGTGCACATTTCAAGCCTCTTTCCTTATCACATTCTGTGGTGGGATTGCTGTGAAGTAAAACAGGATTTATTTGCTTTAAATCCGATTATACTACTACTACCCTACTCGCATACGAATACTTATTTCTCGTTTCTATTTACGTTTTCGCGACGAAATAGATTGAATAAATCTCATATATATGATCTACTGGTAGTTTCGAAATCCTACTAAGTGAACGAAATGTTTTGTTTATGTTTTATTAAGCCTTAAATATATACTTTTGTTGTTTGGCAGATGACTACTTTAGTCGAGCATGTCACCTGTTCCAACGTCTTGGCTCTAATCGCCGGCAAGCCACCTCCAATTTTCCTACACCCTCTTGTGACCGCAGAACGATTGAGAGCCTTTCCTCGTCTGCTTCAGCAACAAATTATCTTAATTCTACAAAGATCTTTCTCACTACTCCGGGCTGTCCAGGCGAACCGAGTAAACCAGCTTCTTGCAGTCCATTTCCACAGCGGTCCGCCAGTGAGTGGGGTAGAGATCCATCCTGCACAGACGCCTTAAGCCACCTATTCGGCCATCCTTCGTCTGCCACGCAATCGGATTTTATGGTTCAAGAGCATTTTGAACCCACGGATCTCACCTCAAAGCTTTCCCTACACAAGGGCCTTACAGACAAGGATTTAGAAGCTGCGGGCCTACCACTTCACTCTCACCAATATCATCAACATCTAACACTTCCTCAGATCCAAAAACAATTGTATCATCGCCAACACCAATACAAACAATATTCTCCACACTCAGAACAGTCGTCAAAAGTTAAATCAATTGCAAGACCAAATCTTTCCGCTCCATACCAAGAAGCTTCGTCTGATTATGACCAAGAAGATGGGGAAGATGATGACGAAATAGAAGATGTAGGGGCTGATAGCGACGGTCTTCTTCGAAATCTCGATGTCATCAGACAAAAAAGTGGAGAAGAAAGTGTCTGCGACTGTCTTATTGGCCAATCTGAACAGGAGCGCTTATGCCGAATGGGAAGTGCCTGGCACAGGCATATAAGAAAAAGTGGAGAGTATGAACAAGAAATGGACAGCGAGGAAGATTCGAATATTGATCGCCCATTAAGGTATGAAAATTTCCCATCATGACCTTCCCCGAAGTTATTGTATTATTAGTACTAATAGCATGAACGAGCAACTACTCATATCAGGCACTTTATTTTCATAAATATGAAGAGAAGCTGGTTTTCTGAGATATCAATGTACCAATCATTTTGTTAAAAAGGAGGATGAAAGAAACTTTGATTCTTAAATTTTTCTATCCGGATTATTTTGTTGCCCTTTTTGATACAAAATAAGAAGCCTTTCATACATATACGTATATCACATCGTCACATTGTCAAATATCATAATCTATTATATTGCCCTAGCTACTTAACCTACAATCTTGACTCTATTGACTTAGTTGGGCAGTTTCACACTGAGCTGAATTTTTACTCATTTTTTAATGTTTCGTAATTAGGCTTGGATCCTGTGAAACATTTGACCACTTTTCTTAAGTTCTCTTTTGGCCATATATTTGACTACTTCTGATTTTAGGACATACAAACCTAATTAACGCTTCCTCAGTCCTTTAATCCCTTGGCATTCTTCATTAAACTCTACAAGACACTTATTATTAATAATTTCATGCCTCTTATCTTAACACTAAATGCATGATTAGAGGATAAGTTGATAGCGAAATCCTAAATTATTTTTATTTACCATAAACATTACTTCGTTTTATTCCCTTTTATCAAC